ACCGTATTGCGATTTCTTCAACAAGCATGCTTCATTCGGTTGACTGCTTACCCCCTTTGGAACACACATGTACACTTTTTCCTGGAGAACAGGATCTTCAGGTTTCGGTTCGTCGCAATCGCCAGAATCGTCCGTATAGTTGAAAGCTTTGCCACTGGAGCAAACGTCTCTTCATAGTCCACGTGCTTCCGCTGCATGTACCCTTTGGCAACCAGGCGGGCCTTGTAGCGCACAGAATTCCCGTCAGCATCGGTCTTCAACGTGAACACCCATTTACTCGGCACAGGCTTTACTGCATCAGGGCACCTCACCATCGTTCAGGTTTGGTTTTTCTTCAAAGACCTTAGCTCGTCAGCTATTGCTTGCCTCCATTCCGTCTCGTGCGGATGACCGTCAACCTCATCGTAACATGTCGGAACCTGTTGGAATTCATCAGCAGCAGAAAGGGCTCTATAGCTAACCAACCTGGGGTCCTGCGCTCCCGACCACTAGACCTCGGAACACACTCCTCACAGTTGTTCCCATTCTTCGAGTGTGGTGGGAGCGCCGATGCGCCTTCTTCATTAGCGTTGTCAGCAACTTCGTCAACATCTTCAAACTCATCTTCGGACAGCTCTTGATGGTCATCTTCAAATTCATTCGTTGGCTGCACGTCATCTGTATTGATCTCTTCAACGGCTGGAATAACTTCAGGAATCACCATCTTCGAAGCTACTTCTTCCTCCAGCGATTTCTCTGGTGTCTAGAACGGAAAATTTGTCTCGTCGAATTTCACATCTCGTGCCACGAACATTTTCCTCGTTTTTGGATTCCACAGATGATAACCGGTTGGTGCGAAGCCCAGCATCACACTGCGCAAACCGGTCGGGTCCAACTTGCTCCTCTTTTGTTTCGGAACCCATGCAAATGACTGGCATCCGAACACTCTCAGTTTCCCAACATCTGGTTTCTCATCGTGCCAACATTCAGCCGGGGTACAGTTTTGTTTTAACGCTTCAGTTGGACTTCGGTTTGTTGTGTACACTGCATGCAATACTGCTTCACCCCACATAGATTTCGGTGCTCCGGATTCAGCTAGCATAGTCCTCATTTTTTCCACAATGGTCCGGTTGAACCTCTCTGCTACTCCGTTATGCTGTGGTGTATAACCAACGGTTGATTCAACTTGAATTCCTTGTTTCATATAGTACGCAAGCTGATCATTTGAAAAGTATTCTCTTCCCAGGTCACACCTCAAGTTTGCGATCTTGTTCCCGAATTTTGCCGTTGCCATAGCCTCGTATACTTTGAAGAGATCAAACACTTGGTCCTTCCGTTTCATCAAATATATAACAGCAAAATGAGTATAGTCATCGATAAACGACACGAAGTATTGATACCCATCTACTGTTTCGGTGTTATCTGGTCACAAACATCCGTATGAACACGCTCCAATGGTCTTGTTGTGCTCGGTCGACTCTTGTTGAATGGAAACTGGGTCATCTTGCTCTCTGCATAGGACTCGCAAAATTCACCTTCATTTTTAATTTTCCCGATTCCATCTACCATTTCGCTCTGCTTCAGGCGTCGTACATTCTTGAAGCTCAAGTGACCAAACCGTTTGTGCCATAGCTGCAACTCATGACCATCACCTTTCGCAAGGATGGCCGAATCTGATGTATAACGCTGCATCGACAGATAGAATAGATTCCCGCGTAGTTCCGCCACAGCTATTGTTTCACCGTTTTTCGACAACACTGCTAGATTCGGCAGGAAATCCACTTGGACTCCTGCTTTCAGCAACCGCGACAATGACAGCAAATTGATCTTGAGGTTCTTCACAAATAAGACGTTTTCCAAGGACAATGTCAGACTGTTCTCACCCATGAACGTCTTCGCTTTCACTGTGCCTTCTTTAGTAGCAATAAGTTTCTCACCTTGCATGGCACTTTTAATTACCAGCGGTCTGTCGAACTCCTTGAACTCGTGAAAATACCGCTCATCATTGGCCATGTGACGACTTGCTCCCGAGTCCAATATCCATTCAATGTCCAATTTCGACTTGTAGATCGCTTCCTGGGAAATCATCAACGCCATTTCTCTGTCTACGGGAACAGTTGCTACTTGAGCTTGATCATACCGGTTTTTGAACTTTGGAAATGCAACCTTCTTGTGCCCTTGTTCACCACACACAAAGCATTTTCCTTGAAACTTGAACTTTTCCTTGCTTCTTTCCGACTTCGCTGCAAACGCTGATCCTGATCCATCCGAGACACCATTGGCACATGAATTGTCTCCTCTTCCCATTCGTTTCTGCTCTTCGGCCAGCAAACGCGCCTTCACCGTGTCCAACTTCAACTGATCATCTCCCAGGTTCTCCATAGCCGTGGTGACAACATCGTACGTCGATGGCAGAGAAATGAACAGTTGACTAACGGCATCTAACTCCGTGACAGTAGCACGAGCTCCCTTCAACTGGCGGACTAACTCGTCAAATTTTCGGAAGTGGTCCTTTAACGGTGTTCCTTCTTCCATCTTCAGCGTTGCTGAGGACCTCTGAATGTATGTTTGTGCTGCAAAACCTTTCTTCGCGAGCGTGCTTGCCAGGGAGTTCCACATTTCCTTCGCAGTGTTCTTGACACGCACGTACTCCAGATGAGAATCCGCGATGTACGCAACTAGAAGAGCCATCGCCTTTTCGTCCTTTTCTTGAAAAGCTTTCCTCTGCGCTTCGTCAGCTGGTACATCCTTCGTGATCATTTCCTTCACGCCGTGAGCCGACAACTGCGTTTCGACCCGGAACCTCCACACGTCGTACATTTTCTCACGGTTAGAATTAAAGTTTGAATAGAAATCGACGATTTTTTGAAAATCTACATACCGCAAAACTGATTTATCCACCACCGGGGCAATATCTGTCGGATTTGATGGTGGAAACTAGAGAGGGCCTAGTATAAGAGAGGAGCGGATTGGCTGGTTTTGAACCAAACGAACTGTCAAAGCCAGACCCAATTGAGCAGCGCCTATCTTGATTGCATTGGAAGTGTTGCTAGATATCACCTAGGCATAAGTAGGTTGCCAAGGCTGTTTATTTTGAATCCGTTCCTCTCTTATACTCAGCCCACTAGCAGGCGCGTAGGCAACATGTTATACCGTGACAGCGGGCCCAGCACAGTAAAATAAACGATTTGAGCCCGGGACATAGGCAAATCAAAGTTGGCACTCGTGGAGAATAGAAGAACTATAACAGTGATGATGGTTTCAAAATTTTCCACGGGGAAGTATACGAATGCAATCTTAAAATGCTTTTATTTTGCAAATGGAACATTTTATTTAAATCTGGTTGCTGCTACAGTGGTAGAAAAGCTCAAATCTATGTGTACACCTAAAAATCTGAAAAGAAATTAATTTTTCTGTATTATTTGTCTATTGAGTAGTCCTTAAGTTTTCTACTAACATAGCATCAACCAGATTTAAATAAAATGCTCCATTTGCAAAATAAAAGCATTTTAAGATTGCACTCGTATACCTCACCGTGTAAAATTTTTAAACCATCATCACTCTCATAGTTCTTCTATTCTCTACGAGTGCCAACTTTGATTTGCCAATTGCCTACTGTCAAACGCTGCTGTTGGTATAGGCCTTGTCACTGGCCTGCTTATACTAGACCCTCTCTAGTGGAAACTATTACTCAATTGACAGCTCGCTCCCACACAAAGATGGGCGTTAAGATTGTGATTTTTGCTAATCTAATGTAATCACACTTATTTAAAATAGTTCCAGTGCTCTAAAATCGATGAGATTTGGATTTCGGTTTCATTTAAAATGCAGATTAAGAATATCAATACCACTAAAGAACCCGATGTGGAGTCGATATCATCGCCCGTGCGCTGTATAGTTTTTGCTAGAGTCGGTGTATAATGAGTCACGCCAAGAGAAAAACAGTTCAACTCGCATCACGGTTTTCGAAAGATTCCCTTTCTTTTAACTTGGCAACAGAGGACTTCTACAACAACTTCAAATGACTTCTAGCGAGAGAAAAAATATTGCGGCTGTAGTACATCATTATATCAGTGATTTTGTCAAATTATCTTAACAAAAAATAGTAGAAATTCTCATTACTAATCATTACCGAGCGTATCCCATGACAATTTAACGCTCACTGCGTGTTTATGCTCATTTCTTCGATTATATTTTATATTTTATTGCAATACCTTTCGTGGACCTTTCATAGCATCGTAATGTTTATTTATTTTGCACGATAGGTAGCCGGTTTGACAGTTCAATAGGTAGACTTGGCTTCACTCTTGGCGTGACTCATTATACACCGACTAGTTTTTGCCACTATCTTGGAGTCAATGAGATGTAAGCAGGTGAGGCTCAGAGAATTTGTCGTCTCTTTTGTTCCTCCACTGTATGAGGTCAAACTCCGTCATCTAACAATCATCAGAACGATAAAGGGGAAGAGCCACTGTTTGTTCATAGAATACATTCGAATTCCAACGTTTTTACCGTTAAGATCAAACTCAATTAGTTATAAAGTTATTCCGTGACTTCTTATCCTGACTTACAACCGAAAACCAACATCTTTTTCAAGGTTAACATGAAGCGTTGGTTGTTTGGTTGTCATTACGAGGGAGACTTTCACCCTAGAGGCTGGTTCATCTCCGAAAATAAAGAGTTAATCAATCTATCCACAGCTCGAGCTATTGATCCTGTTCCTGTCTTGGAATTTCTCCCGACGAGGAAATCGCTCGATCAGCTGGAGTCTTTCGACCCAAGGATTGCCCATAACATTTTCCGTGATTTTATTTTTCGATACGCCCTTCTAGTTTAAAGATTGATTAAAAACGAGAAAATGATAAATTGATCCAGGAAATAGTTTCATCAATATTGGACTAAAAATAAAGAGCAGAGTTATCGGTATTTGCTTACGGATTTCTTTCTTGAATAGACTTGGAACTTTCTTAAAGTTTATGGAAAAAATATATTTTCAATTCATTTACCTCTTTTGCAAACGCTGAACGAGAAATGGCGCCTATCCTTCGCTCGCCAAGGGTTTCCGTTCGCTCCAACCTACCTACTGAATAAAAGAAACGATTCCAACCTTCCCCGAAATACGGAGTCCCCAAAAACATAACGAAGAGTTTGCCAGTTTGCCATAATATATGATAATAGTTGAAATTTGTCATTTACCTGATCGACCTGGTCTACCGTACGCGGACGACAGCCGTCCGGTAGAACCCACCCATTACCTGTATCCTGGCTTCCGGCAGCTGAATTCTCTCCGAGAGCCGTTCCCGTGCAAACACATCCGGATAGTGAGTCCGCTCGAATTCTGCTTGGTGGAAACAGGGCCAAAAGTTAAAATTTTTACGTTTACTCTTCCACCGTCGAGAGGTCCGCTCTCACTGAAATAGCCTAGTTACCTCTTTCCAAATTTTCAATCTGTTCGTTGGTGAATGAAGTCCGGTTGCGTTGGAGCTTTCGCTTCAGTTTGAGCCGCAGCTCCGAGTCTTCGTCGTCCTCCGAGGAGTACTTGTCACTCATTTCCTCCATACCGTGGTTTACTGGATGGGAGAAATATTTGCTGTGTAAATCGAAAGTTGTCTTTTTAGGGCAAAGGGCTACCTGGCTTTGATTGTTGAGGATTTTCGGTAGGGCTCTTCAGAGAGAGATGGGAGATGGGGTGGGATGAAAAGTTGAACTGACCGCCACCGATGTTTTGGCACCAGGTCCAGTGGCCGCTGGTGTTGTTGAAGAGCTTGATCTTTTCGTAAACCGTATCATTGCTTGGGGTGGAAGTTTCCTTGTTCGAAGCCAGATTGCGCAGCACTCGGTTAATGGAAGAAACCTGTTGGGAGGTTGACAATCTAGTAGGCGTTGGGTGTTGATGGAATTTAAATGATAGGGCTTACGCTAGGGATGTTATCATTATTGCAGACATTTTCAGACAATAGTCGATCCCGGATCTCCCAGGCAAAGATACTCGGACATTCAGCCTTGTAATCGGAGATCTTGGAGACCACGGAAGCCGTGGCTACCCGGGGTTTACTGCCGCCGATGGCTCGCGGTTTGATCGAGCCCGTCTCATAGTATCGGCCCAGGATCTTGCTAACGCATCCATTGGACACCTGGAGAATGCGGGAAATATCGCACGGTCTGGCTCCGGAGTGGGCCAATTCGACTATCTTCTGGCGCGTCGAGTCCGGCAAGGGACGCCCATTGACGTAGACACCCCCCAGTTGGTTGATGCCGCTGTGGCCGGACGCGTTGCAGCCAAAGATAGAATTTACGCTCTGGATGTTGCTCTGGATTTGCATTGTTTGCTGCGAAAGAACGTATGATTCGCACAACATCTTAAAATTCTACGCAATACACGCGATGGAAAATTTTCAAATTATTAACGGTTGAACGAACAAATCGATTTTTCAAGAAAAGATGAAATAAGTAATCAGAACGCTTTCAGAAGTCAAATTAACCATGGCCCAATCCATTCTATCGGCAATTCGAACCAAAAAGCCATGCAATTTGCTTGAAATTTTGAAAATTATAATGCATAATTAGAAGATTGCACGTGCAACTTACCTTGTGCAAAAGCGAGCTGCAATTGTGCTGCCTACCTCCAGGAGTACCACAAGCGAAATGTTTGAAGGCGCGCTTCCCACCCCCACAACCGAAGTAGCCCGGCGCATGTGTAACGCATGGCACATGCTCACTCCCGCTTTGACAGTTCGTTCTCCGTCTCTCTTTGGTGTCTCTTCGCAGTCTCTTTCGTACTTGCAGCAGTTGCCATGGTCTACTGTCGGGCACATTTCACACGCTATCTCTTTCGAAAGAAGAGACCACAAAGAAGGGCGACCGACCAGACCACGGACTGCAGCGACAGAAAAGAGAGCTTCTTCTCATCCTCATCCACACACGGCCATAGAAGAAGTGAAGTGAGTGAAATTTTTTCTCCAGTCAAACCGAGTTACGAGCCAGAAAGACCAGGAAGCTGTCCAGTTTTTATCCGCGAAAAAATTCCAGTGAAGAATCGGTGCTAGTGATCGGAAAAGTGGTGCAAACAGTAGATGCCGACCTAACGCAGCGGAAGTGCATATCGTCTAGTGGATTCCGAGGCAGGTTTAGTGGAAATTTGCGGTAGAAAAATCCGTCCATGGATGAAAATTTTCACCCCTTCCTCAGGTTCGAAACGCGCAGCAAGCCAAGCAAACCAAGAAGAAGCCATCGCACTCCGTCTGCTGAGCGATGATCACCCTGCTTGGTTGCTTTGATTGCAGTGCAAACGAAAACGGGAAGGGAGAAGACAATTTTCAATTAGTTTTTTTTAGTTTTATCAAATCCTTACACATCGGTCGAATCCTAGCAAATTTGCGATTTGCGTAACTGTAAATTCGACCGAGAGAACTGAAGAAAAGAAAGAAATATAGTTTCACTGTTGTTCTGAAAAAAATAACTAACCTGTAGTTTTGAATTAAAACAAATCGATACTGTCAATTCTTATATTATTGCTATACATTCCTGGCCCGCGAAACGAGAAAAACCGCTATATCCGAACTGCTTCGTAACATTCTATGACGATTCTATATATGTGTATTTCCGGCTAATTAGTGTATTTAATTCTTGCAAAAGGGTACGCAACAATGGCGGATTCGGTGACAATTGTGACCATCCGGCTGGTCTAATATTGATTTTTGCGCTTGCGAAAAGAATGGCATATTGTGCTGTCGCCACCACCGCCACCTCCGTCCCAAGACAATGGGAGCGTTCTGTTTTTGACACAGAGCAAACATTGCCCAATGAGCAAGCGCAAGCGATGGCTGTCGAGCAGCGAGCTGTTTCCCTTGATTTTGGGTACGTTAAAATGAAACTTGTAGAATATGAATGACAACATTTGAACAGGCGTTTTAAAATGTTAACGTCTATTAATGCTGTTCTGATCGTTGTATCTTCAGCATGATTAATAAGTGGAAATACGTTCAAAAATAGATATTATTAACTATCACCACGCTTACGTTACACTCGATAATCTGGACTACAATAATTCAGATAATATTGTATTTGTAATTATGAACATTACCTTCAATACAAACTACTGGCAGTTCTGGACTTTTTGCTTTTCATTAATTTTTTTTTTCAGTATAAATGAGGCCTATTCTGCGCCGAGAGTGATGTGAAGTGAATCATTATCACTAGTGAGGTGACCAAAGTCACCTCATGTGAGTAGACTTTCCGTGACACCAAGACACTTCAGCTCACTCGCAGCGCAGAATACGACCCAATATCTGATAACCATACCATGATTGTGTACATGGATACGATGGATACTGATCAAAACGTGTTCTCTAATCATTTCTCTTTTGGTGAATGAGAACGACCCAAATTTGAGTTTAGTTAACTCATAAATCTCCTAGACTGAGTAAAACGTGAGGCAAGTTTACTCATTGCTGAGTTACTGAACTTTTGGCAATTATGAGAGAACTAAACTCAAATTAGGGTCGTTCTCAATTGCCGTTTAGGTGGTGGAAGTAAATAATGGGCACTAGTTTTAGGTGCAGTATTTATGATGAGGGGAAAGAGTTTTTGCAGCTATGGAACCTTAATATTAATACGATGATGTGCTCTTTAAGCATTTGAAAATTGCTCTTTTACAGCGTAGCTACTCAGATTTACTGTCCAGCCCGTCTTTTTATTTTTAGTCTGAGGATCGGAGCTTATTGTAGACGCTTTCCCGTCGCTCCGATCCTTTTAATAAAACAAACACGTCAATCTGAGTAGCTACGCAATAAAAGAGCATTTTTCCAACGCTTAAGGAGCATTTCATCGATTTAATATTGCAAAAACCATTTTCTCATGATTTTTGTCGCTTCAAAATTTACTTTTCAAAACCTTGTAGACTGTTTTAAAGATATTATAGACCACCTACTCACCCCACCAGTCCATGCAAATTTTTAAATTTGTATGGATCTTAGATAAATATCACCCATTACAATATCAATGGATAACCAGCACGGTTGATTTTCCCAACAGATGTAACTAGTATACAAAAGTTACGGCGATTTATTTTGTAAGCAGAAAACCGGAAAATGTCGATTTTCACAAAATTAGAACCTTTGTCGAAAAAAATATGTCCTGCCCTTAATAGCTTTAATTTTTCCTCGATTTTAACCGAACTGCCACCACATTTTTTTTTTCTGTATCGCTTCTAAAGTCTTTTTTATTTCTTTATTAAAGAGACTTTCAGCCCCCTTTTGCAAAAATGTTACACTCTTCAAACATATTTTTTTGTTTGAATATCATTTCCCTATTGAACGGTGGCGGCATGCTGTGAGTTGTGAGATCAAAACTGACAGCATACGGTAATCCATTAATATTGACTCAACTGTCAAATCCATTCTAAAGAAACAAAATAAAAGGGCAGAATGCGCCCAGCACAATAATACCAACCGGTGGAAACTAAAGATTTTAAATTGGCTCACTACTTGACTAGCCTATTGGTCCCAAGCAAATCGATTAACGTACCCCATTCTAGTCCAAATTCTATTACTACACTATGTTTGTGATGATTCGCTATGAAAGTTTGACAGATAAAATGAGGGGTTCGTGGATTTTCCAATGTTTCGAGGAGTCCATCGATTAGCTTGGGACTGAAGATAGTACTAGAGCTGAGCCAAAAAGTTGAGCACGTTTCTTCGGGACCTAATAGCATAGAGGTAACTCTAAGACAAGATGGTCCCGAAGAAACGTGCTCAACTTTTTGGCTCACCTCTGGTACTATCTTCGGTCCCAAGCTTGTCGAATCACCCCTCGAAACATAAGAAAAACCAATAACCCCTCATTTTATCTGTCAAACTTTCATAGCGAATCAAAACAAACATTGCGTAGTACTAGAATTTCGACTAGAATAGGGTACGTTAATCGTTTGCTTGGGACCAATAGGCTACTAAAGTGGCTAGCCAATTTAAAATCGTTAGTTTCGTATTGATTGTTGCTAATAGTCTTAGAGTTACCTCTATGGTAACAGATAATAAAGCTTATTCACGCAAAAATATGCTGCTTCAGCTAAAAATGGCTCATCAATTAATTATTCACTTCAAATTTTGTGTTGGGTTGTTTGTCCACGTGAAAGCTAGTTAGAATTCTTACACTGTAACGTACCCACGTTACGGGATAGTTTAGAGAGAATTTCGTATACGGGAAACAATCCGTTCCGAAATTCGTCAACCTCAATCGGAACAAATCGATTTTCGCTTTACGAATGTACACCATAAATGAAGATCATGAATTTGTGAACCTTGTTCGGCAAAATAAAAGTAACGCCTGCGTCACTCACCGGTAACGGCAACACAAGTCATGAAAACGAGATCTTTATTGGAAGATTGCCGTAAAAGCTCAACGCAGATGTCGCCACTGCATGTTGATGATAATGTTGACAGACTGCATATAAAATTCGTGAAAATTAGCGTTAAATCATAATTTTCATCAAGCCTGTGTAAAATCCTTCCAATATAACATTCGAATTGAAGAAGAAAACGTGTTTACGATCAGAGTGATGTGCATCTTCGACTTTTCCAGTTGAACTTTCATAAGATATATTCATTTCATTTCGTGGCTCCATCAATGCTGCATCATTTCATTTCGTGGCTCCATCAATGCTGCATCGTAAATATGATGTAAACAGAAGTAAATTGCTCATTTACTCAAAATAAAGATGATTTGTCATCTTGTTATCACTTTGAAGACCATCTAGCACCATTTTATAGTATGGTGCGTGTTGAGTAAATCAAGTTCCGGTGCGTTTTCCGTCAAAAATTGTGAGTATCGATATGTTTGCTTAGAAAAGGCCAAAATTTATTGAATATTGGCGACCTATAAAACCAATTCTCCATTACCACCAGCATGATACAACCTTAACTTAATTTCCACTTTCATTTTAGTGGAAATCGCACATATTCACCATTTTCCGAAAAATGCAGCTGCGCAGGAGGTGATCTCTCACTGTGGGTGCAAACTTTTTATGCATTATTTTCCATGAAAACCTCTTCGATCCATACCGAAATAATAACAATTAGTTTTCAAACACGTTTTCTTACACGATTCAAGCAAAAGTTTCCGCGGGAAATTATTAGTTTTTCTTTATGGACCGATTTGCCCCAAAAATCGTCTGTTTTACTTGGAAAATTTGGAAACTATCCTCCTTCTAGTAGTTCTCACTTCGAAATGTAGGAGGCGAAGCTTGGAAAAGTTTCACTGCAAGACGCCAATTGGCGAATCAAAGCGAAGCCAAAACTGGTCATGCGACACCTAGTTTTTAGATCTACAATTACGGAAATGATGATGTACTAAAAAAAAAATCTTGCAATTTTAAAGATATCAAAACGTCATTACCATTTTCAACCAAGGCAATCGTCACTTTGATTCTTCAATTCTGAAAATTATGAATTTGTTCTGGAAAATGTGATTATAGAGATTGCTAAAGTGTGATTGTGGCAGTGATTTGTTTTTATCAGGAAAATTTTCCGCTTTGAAGTTGTTTTCCTGATGAAAGCATTTTGCGTATCGTATCCAGCTTTCCATACTCGGTAATGGCGGCCTGTTTGTATGAATAAATGTATCCTTCACTGTGCTTTTTGACACCATTTGGATGTTTGGATTTTGACCCCTCCTTTTTCCTCTCCCAGGAACAGAAGAAAATGGATCAACATACGCCCTCCAGTTAGTGTCAAAACAGACAGTGAAGGATACATTTATTCCTACAAACAGGCAGCCATTACCAAGCATGGAAAGCAGCCCTAATAAAAATTGTATGGTTAATTTGCTTAACGACGTGTTCTGGGTATCATCCAAACCATTTGTGGAATAGTTCAATGATTTGGGTTATCGTTCGTTTATGGTTATTTTTTATTAGGGAGGATACGTGACGTACACGCAAACTCTAGTGTGCGTACGATAAACGTCAGCAATCAAAGTGACGGTTGACTCACAGATGGCGAGCCGGTGAAAATGGTAATGACGTTTTAACACAGACAAACAGACATAACACTCGCAAGTTGTTCATCGAATAAGCATTTAACGGTCAATTTAAAAGTATCGTAGTTGGTAGTACCATAGAGGTAACTCTAAGACTAGTAGGTCCCGAACAAACGAGCTCTACTTTTTGGCTCAGCTCTGGTACTATCTTCGGTCCCAAGCTAGTCGATTCACCCCTCGAAACATAGGAAAATCCAATAACCCCTCATTTTATCTGTCAAACTTTCATAGCGAATCAAAACAAACATTGTGTAGGACTAAAATTTTGACAAGAATGGGATACGTTAATCGATTTTCTTGGGACCAATAGGCTAGTCAAGTAGTGAGCCAATTTTGAATCGTTAGTTTCGTATTGTATTGATTGTTGGTAGTACCGCCACCTAATTCCCTTGCGTTTGACGTTTATACACTACCGCCATCTGTTCAGCGTACTACCCACCACAGTGTACTCAACAGATGGCGGTAATGTTTTAGCAACGATGTTTTACAGTGATAAATATTCAATGAGTTATGTCTGTTTGTCTGTGGTTTTAATATCTGTCAAATTGCATGACATTTTTTAGTACATCCTCATTTTTGTAATTGCGGATCTTAAAACTAGGTGTCGCATAACCAGTTTTGGCTTTGCTTTGATTCGCCAATAGTTCAGAAGTTGTTCTTGATATCATGATTCTGCTCATGAACGTGGCAACATAGGCCTAGTTTTGAAGTGTCAAATTTATTTATTATGACTGTGAATAATTTCCTTGATCTGTTGAATTTGTGTATGTATGTATTTATGTATGTAGGTATATACTATCCAACTTCCACTGTCCGGTAGTGTTTTTATGGAAGAAAAATGTTTGCAATATAATCTATTATTATCTTATACTGATCCCATCGCAAACAATTTTAGCCCGGAAGATGAAAGGTGATAGCTATGTTGAGATTCAGTAATCCATTTCAGAATGCCTGGTCACCGAGAGGTGCGACACATCTAAATCTCAATGTTAAATGGTTGAAAAATCTCACACTAGCGAATCAATCTACGAAAAATCTTTTTTCATCTCTTGCATCTAAGCCCATCTACTCGCATCGCTCTCCACCTTTTTGCAGGAAATCTTCAAAATCATAATCAAATATAAAATGTATATTGGTACTGAGTTTACACTTCCATCATCACAGCAATTCCTGCTTTGTAGATGCATTTGCTTTGTAGTATGCATTTCATATTTTTATATCTAGTTGTAATCAGTTAGATCTCACCGCTTATGCATTATGTCCTTGCTGCTGAATCTTTGTCATCTCGATTCTCGTTGAGTCCTGTTGAATAATCGGCATCTATAGTGGAATACTCTTCTCTCTCTTTCTCTATCACTTTTCGATGTTTTTCGTATCTCTTCTTGCTTGAATCCCCGTATTCGATTTCAGGTCATTAAAATTCTTTTAAAAATTGTAAAGCAATCCAAATGGAAAAGTCTCACCAGAATCCACCAGTTGCTCAATATTATCTAAAGCCGTCACCAAACTTCCTTCTCTTATTTTTTGCGAGTATGCGCTATTTTCACTATTCTTCTAAAATTTCCTTAAGGCACTTCACCCAGGTTTTTCAAGCACTCTAGAGGTACCCGTTTTGCCCGCGAATCGGTTCCAGAAGATTCCCTCAGAGAAATAACGTTTTCTCCTCGACAAACACAAGCAGCATGCTTTGAAAATTAATTTTTCGGGACGAGTTCTTCTCGACAAGGACACATTTCAAAAGATTTTTGTGTGAATCACGAACAGTTAAAAACACTTTTGAAATCATCACTCGCGTTTGAAAATTGCATAAAATCATAAAACTTCATTCGAAAAAATACAGCTGGAAAAACAAAACACGTCAACTTTTCACCGCGGCCTACCACGATGCTTGATCTGTTGAATTTATGCTCTAAATATAAGTGGTTATACTTGTAGTGTGTACGATGTGTAGGCAGGTGGAATGAAAGGTGGTGTAGGCAGGATTTAGGAAAACGAAAGACAAGGTAGTTCCTCATTTGGTCCGTAGGTATGGTCTTTCAGGTCTTGAAAACTTTACCATTATTTGTGTCGTCAACCGTCTATTTCGTCGCTGTCTTGGCGTACCTGCTAGCTAAGGTACTCAAGTTGATCGGATATGAAGGTGAAACTTACGTCTGTCGCTGTAAATCTTGCCGGTCTGGGCGACAGAATTTTCCAATCTGGTGGTCAACACTGTTATGCATCATATCTCGATTACTTTTTCCAAGGGACGTATCAGCTTTTGTAAACAATGCATTTGATCGTCGATTTGACGTAACTGGTAGCTCGCCCACGCATTCTAACACTACCCACTTAAAGGGAAATTTTCTCCTACCTGTTAGTGGTGTTAGTATGCGTGGGCGTGTATCAGTTACGTCAAATCGACGATCAAATGCATTGTTTACAAAAGCTGATACGTCCCTTCGAAAAAGTAATCGAGATATGGTGATGACGAGCTGCTATCCTGAAATACGTACCTGCTGATCCATGCAACTTGGCGGTGGAATCTGTTACGTCAGTTACAAATGGCCCGAATAAGATGTTTAATCTTCTGCTAGCAGTACAATAACAGAAACAAATTGATTTGCTTGCGTTATTGGAAATGACAGCTGCTCGATGTGTACATGAACAATGTTCACAAAATCTGGATTCAAATCACGTTTATGGGTCTACAGCATCACGATAACATGATTTTGGTTTCTATATTTTATTGCGTTATGGAATGATTGGTGGTGGAGATTCATTGAGTTCATTGATTTTGGATCCTGTTCATGAAAATGTTAATTAACACATCATGTTTTGTTCTGATTTTCATGATATTTTGTTCACGAATATAGGAACCATTTTTTTGCGTGTATTATAGCCATTGATCCATTGAATCTATCAATGTATATGTATGCAATTGAATTTAGGATGAATTCACAGTTTATACCCAGTTCTCACAATTATGTTTCACTTTCACGTGTTTGGATTGTTAAAACCTCAAATCACAGGAAAAATCACAAACGAAAACGATGCAGCCAAAATACAAACATGTCACTTTTCCAGTGCAGCTTACTTTGCCCTTCACATGGAGGCGCACGGTACAACGTTAATTACGCTTTGTACACGGCCAATGAGATCAACCTAAATTTGAGTTCAGTTTACTCATAAATCGCAAAAAGTGCAGGAACTGGAAATGAGAAAAGTAAAGATTGAATTTTCTCAGTCTATTGGTACTACTCCTAGACTGATTAAAATTTTCGTCAATTTTCATTATTTTCCGACAGATTTTTAAGGTATTCACTGATTTTGCGATTATGAATAAACTGATCTCAAATTTGGGTTGATCTCATTGGTCATGTAGGTCATCACAACTTGAAGCACAGTTTCCATTTTAAAAACAATTATATCCACACAAAGGTGCATCAAGAAGAGAACAGAAGGGTATTTCGATAATGCCTCCACCACACTCCCTACCAAAAAATTGTATTTGAAGGCCTGCTTCATTAACCCGTCCCATTTTTCCCAACTCAGGAATCGTTCTCTGCATCGCGCTCCTCTGAGAGATCTATGAACAATGTCATCGAAACGTAAATCGCCGCCCAACAAGCTCTCGAACGCCGGTTCCCCACCGTCCCCCACGGCGGTCCAGATCGAGAAAAACAACTTCAGAAAAATTTCGCTCAAAAATGAAGACCTCATCAAGTCGTCCCCGGTCAAAGAGCTGAACTGCGCCTTCGACGCCAGTTTCCTCTCGATGCAAAAGATGCAAGCCCAGATGGAGCCGAAATATGTCAAGAACGAACATAGCGAGTACATTATGAATCACCATCACGCCCAACAGCAGCACCACCAGCAGCAGCAGCAACAGCAACATCATCCGTTCGGAGGTTTCGGGGGAGGCATTCCGGGTGGGATGCATCCGGGACTGATGATGGATGGCGATTTTCACCAGTTCAATTTACCGTTTTTGAATGTGGCAAGCTACATTTTAAAGGGCTCGGATCCACCGATGGGGAAGAATGACAACTATCACTTGACGATGAACTTGGACAATTTGAACATCTCCAACAGTCATCAACAGCAGGAGCCGATGGCGCAGCAGGCTGCGCCCAGGAAGGTCAACAATTTGATTCTGAACCATTTGAAATCGATCGTAGATAATTTTGATAGCTTAAACAACAATGTCAATGGTAAGGTTTGAATTTCCTAAATGTCTTCAATGTCTAACTAAGCTTGATTTGATTTGTTATCCAGATAAAAGTACAACCACTCCACCGCCGCAGCAGCAGTCAACTATTGAGCCGAACAAAAATGCAGCCATTGATGAATCCGGTGGACCACCGACAGGTGTTCCGTTGATGAACAATCACAACTCGGAGAAGAACAACTACGAGGGTTTTCGCTCGCGGTTGGACGAACGCATCAGCAATCTTCATCTCAGCAAGCGGGAAATTAATCTGATGCGATTGAACCTTAGCCTACTGGATTTCCCGAACGAAATCCCACCGAGTTTGTTGAACAGTCATAGCCATAACAACTACGAGCAACGGTCGCCGCAAGGCGGTGATGATCTGAACTGCAGCACGTCACAGAACAATATGAATATCAAGTTGATTAAAAGGTATGGAATTGGAAGAAAGAGTAAGAGGAGCGTGTCTTAATGTCGTTGTAATTTCTCCCGAGAACAGAAGCTTCAAGGAGTCCCTGTACGAGAAGGAGAAGAACATTAACCGGCTCATCATGTACTTCACCATCTGGCGCGAGATGCTACTGAAGGCGGAGTTTGTAAGGCACCTGAGATGTCGCAGGCCAACGGCGACGGCCAAGACCACTGCTTCTTCTGGGAGTGGATTAAAACGTGATACCGCGAACAATGTGATACTACTGACAGTTCCTAGGCTTTGCAGATCCTAATTCTATGACGGCATATAATGATACTTTCGATTTTGTTTTTAATTGCAGCTCTGAAAATCAATTATGTGGTTATGTGTGATACTATCAAATCTCTGTGCGACGAGCGCTGCTTCTAGGTGAATCGATCTGAATTGAATTTTTCTAGACGTTTCTTTTCTGGTTTGACAGATTTCGGCAACATTTTTTTTTAGGTGATAAATGGTACATTTTATTTCTGAATCCTGGATCTTCGTGAATCCAGGAATCTTATTCATTCAATCCAGGATTGGGATTCCGAAAATATTTGCAAATGAGTAGGTTCAAATTTTAGCTATTCATTTATACAGAATCTCAAAATGAGGTTTCCCAGAATCTTGAAGTGATACTCCCTGAATCCCAATTTGGGATTCACTGGAACTCAGTTTTAGTTTCTCGAAACCAATTTCAGAGATTTTTGAATCCCCGATTGGAATTCCTTGAATCGCTAATACAGGTTCAATTATTTCCGAATTGGAAGTCGCATGATCCGGAATTGGGATTAATAATATCCCAAAATTAGGATACCATCGATCCCAGATAAGGGTTTCATGAATCCCAGATTAGGATTCCACGAATCTCAGATTAAGATTTCTTGAATCTCGAATTGGGATTCCGTGAAACCCAGATTAGGATTCCCTGAATCCTGGTTAGGGATTCTCTGAATCTCGAATTAGGATTCCCTGGATTCATTGTATAGCGAAAAAAATGATTATTTGGATTGACCATCTCCGATTTGTATGTAACTTTCCGTAATTGAAGATATGGGCAATGATTCACATTTTTGCTAAAATTCGAACTCTCTACATTCTTGGAATCTTGGATAAGGATTTCTTGAATTACAGCAAGGAGTTTCCTGAATCTTGAATTTGAATTCGCTGAATTTTGAACTAAGGTTCTTTAAATTTTGAATTGAGATTCCGCAAATCCTGGATTCTCTGAATTCACCATTGGAATTCAATTTCCCGCACAGAGGATATCTGAATTCTAATTCCTAGAATTCATGATTGAATTCCGTTAATCCCAAATTTAAATTCTGTTGATACCAAATTGAGATTCCTTGAATTCCAAATTGGGATTCCTGGAATTCCAGATTTTGATTCTCAACATCCTGGATTGAGATTCCCTGAATCATAGTTTGGTATTTCCCGAAGGAAGAATTTTGTTTTTTTTTTGGGTTCTGTAGACCATGATTTAGACTTGTAGAATGCTTTAAAACCTCGATAAAACATACCATCTTAATTGTTTTTTACTATACCCTTTTAACACATTTTAGAGAATTCGTGACTTGTCCAGGGATCACATATTTGAATTTGTGACCTTTAGCGTGAAATGAATGGATGCTAACCATTACGCCAGGCCCGTCCCCATTGGGATTCCTTGAATTCTGGATTGAGATTCTTAATCCTCGATTGGGATTCTCAAAATACTGATTTCTGAATCAAGTTTGACTGGGATAGATAGAGATTCCACAAACCCTAGATTAGGATTACTTGAATATCTGATTGAAATTCCCCAGGATGGAAGTCTGTTAATCCCAGATTTTGATACCCTTATTCCTTGCAATCTGGATTGGGATTCACTCAATTCCGGATTGGGATTCTCTCAATTCCGGATTGGGATTCTCTAAATCCTGGACTATAGTTTCCTGAATCCTGGATAAATTTGTCTAAATCTCGCATTGAGATGAATAGCAGTTCAAGTTTCCCAGAGACTGGACTGGGATAGATGGAGGTTCCACGAATTCTAGATTAGGATTACATGAATCTCAGATTGGGATTCCCTGGAATCTGGAATAGGAATTACTGAATCCCAGGGTGGAAGTCTGTAAGTCCCAGATTTTATTCCGTTAATTCCTGAAATCTGGATTGGGATCCTCTCTATCCAAGATTGGGAATCTCTAAATCTTAGGTTATAATTCCCTGAATTTGTGGATAGATTCCATGGACCCTGGATTGCGATTCCCTGAACCGTTGATTGATATTCCATGAATCTCGGATCCAGATTTCATGAATCTCGGATTGAGATTCCATGAATCTCGGATTGAAATTCTATGAATCTCGGATTAATATTCCATGAATCCCGGATTAATATTCCATGAATCCCGGATTAATATTCTATGAATCTCGAATTGAGATTCCATGAATCTCGGATTGAGAATCCATGAATCTTGGATTGAAATTCCATGAATCTAGAATTGAGATTCCATGAATCTCGAATTGAGATTTCATGAATCTAGAATTGAGATTCCATGAATCTCGGATCCAGATTCCATGAATCTCGGATCCAAATTCCATGAATCTCGGATCCAAATTCCATGAATCTCGGATCCAGATTCCATGAATCTCGGATCCAGATTCCATGAATCTCGGATCCAGATTCCATGAATCTCGAATCCAGATTCCATGAATCTCGGATCCAGATTCTATGAATCTCGGATTGAGATTCCATGAATCTCGTATTGAGATTCCATGAATCTCGGATTGAGATTCCATTAATCTCGGATTGATATTCCATTAATCTCAGATTGAGATTCCATGAATCTCGGATTGAGATTCCATGAATCTCGGATTGAGATTCTTTGAATCTCGGATTGAGATTCTTTGAATCTCGGATTGAGATTCTTTGAATCTCGGATTGAGATTCCATCAATCTCGGATCCAGATTCCATGAATCTCGGATCCAGATTCCATGAATCTCGGATTGAGATTCCATGAATCTCGGATTGAGATTCCATGAATCTCAGATTGAGATTCCATGAATCTCAGATTGAGATTCCATGAATCTCGGATTGAGATTCTATGAATCTCAGATTGAGATTCCATGAATCTCAGATTGAGATATAAATCTCAGATTGAGATATAAATCTCAGATTGAGATACCATGAATCTCAGATTGAGATATAAATCTCAGATTGAGATATAAATCTCAGATTGAGATACCATGAATCTCAGATTGAGATTCCATGAATCTCAGATTGAGATACCATGAATCTCAGATTGAGATACCATGAATCTCAGATTGAGATTCCATGAATCTCAGATTGAGATTCCATGAATCTCAGATTGAGATTCCATGAATCTCAGATTGAGATTCCATGAATCTCAGATTGAGATTCCATGAATCTCAGATTGAGATTCCATGAATCTCAGATTGAGATTCCATGAATCTCAGATTGAGATTCCATGAATCTCAGATTGAGATTCCATGAATCTCAGATTGAGATTCCATGAATCTCAGATTGAGATTCCATGAATCTCAGATTGAGATTCCATGAATCTCAGATTGAGATTCCATGAATCTCAGATTGAGATTCCATGAATCTCGGATTGAGATTCCATGAATCTCAGATTGAGATTCCATGAATCTCAGATTGAGATTCCATGAATCTCAGATTGAGATTCCATGAATCTCAGATTCAGATTCCATGAATCTCAGATTGAGATATAAATCTCAGATTGAGATTCCATGAACCTCGGATCGAGATTCATGGAATCTCGGATCCATGAATCTTGGATAAAGATTCCATGAATCTCGGATCCAGATTCCATGAATCTCGGATCCAGATTCCATGAATCCCGGATTGAGATTCCATGAATCTCGGATTGAGATTCCATGAATCTCGGATTGAGATTCCATGAATCTCGGATTGAGATTCCATTAATCTCGGATTGATATTCCATTAATCTCAGATTGAGATTCCATGAATCTCGGATTGAGATTCCATGAATCTCGGATTGAGATTCTTTGAATCTCGGATTGAGATTCTTTGAATCTCGGATTGAGATTCCATCAATCTCGGATCCAGATTCCATGAATCTCGGATCCAGATTCCATGAATCTCGGATTGAGATTCCATGAATCTCGGATTGAGATTCCATGAATCTCAGATTGAGATTCCATGAATCTCAGATTGAGATTCCATGAATCTCGGATTGAGATTCTATGAATCTCAGATTGAGATTCCATGAATCTCAGATTGAGATTCCATGAATCTCAGATTGAGATACCATGAATCTCAGATTGAGATACCATGAATCTCAGATTGAGATTCCATGAATCTCAGATTGAGATTCCATGAATCTCAGATTGAGATTCCATGAATCTCAGATTGAGATTCCATGAATCTCAGATTGAGATTCCATGAATCTCAGATTGAGATTCCATGAATCTCAGATTGAGATTCCATGAATCTCAGATTGAGATTCCATGAATCTCAGATTGAGATTCCATGAATCTCAGATTGAGATTCCATGAATCTCAGATTGAGATTCCATGAATCTCAGATTGAGATTCCATGAATCTCAGATTGAGATTCCATGAACCTCGGATCGGGATTCATGGAATCTCGGATCCATGAATCTTGGATCCAGATTCCATGAATCTCGGATCCAGATTCCATGAATCTCGGATCCAGATTCCATGAATCCCGGATTGAGATTCCATGAATCTCGGATTGAGATTCCATGAATCTCGGATTGAGATTCCATGAATCTCGGATTGAGATTCCATTAATCTCGGATTGAGATTCCATGAATCTCGGATTGATATTCCATTAATCTCGGATTGATATTCCATTAATCTCAGATTGAGATTCCATGAATCTCGGATTGAGATTCCATGAATCTCAGATTGAGATTCTATGAATCTCAGATTGAGATTCCATGAATCTCGGATCGGGATTCATGGAATCTCGGATCCAGATTCCATGAATCTCGGATCGAGATTCAGTGAATCTCGGATTGAGATTCCATGAATCTCGGAGCAAGATACCATGAATCTCGGATCGGGATTCATGGAATCTCGGATCTAGAATTCATGAATCTCGTGTCGAGATTCCATGAATCTCGGATTGAGATTCCCTGAGATATCCTTTTGAACCCTGATTTGGGTTCCCATATTCCCAGATATGGATACTCTGAATTACGGATTGAGATTCTCTGAATTCCGCGTTGATATTCTCTGAATCTCGCATTGAGATTCCTGGAATCCCAAATTGGGAAAACCGCAATGCTGAATTGGGATATTCAAATTCCAGTATTGGGATTTCCAAAGATTTAGATTCGGGACTCGGAAAATCTCAGATTGAAACTCTTTGAAATCTTTGAATTTCAGTTAAGGGGTTTCCTGAATCTCAAATTGGAATTTTCTGAATCCTGGATTATGATTCTCTGAATTACTGAACTGGGATTTCCTAAGTCTTGGATTGGGAATTTTTGAATGAAAGATTGGAATTTCAAGATGAAATTCTCTAAATCTCGGATCGGGGTTCTTTGAATTACAATTTGGGATTTTCTGGATATCGGATTATGATTAGCTGATTCCGATAATCGGATACTCATCCCGGATTGGGATTTCCTGTGTTACCAGAATCTAATTTAGGAATTCTTAAATTTTACTATCCGGATTCTCTACTACTACTATTATGAACGACATCTTCCTTGGGATTCTCAGACCCTTCAATCCCATATGGTTATAAATATCTGGCTCTTAAACGTAGGATTGCGATTCTCTGAAACTTGGATTCGCTGAATACTGGATCGGGGTAATCTTTGGGTAATCTTTATGTATTAATTAATATCGAATTGGGCTTCCCCTAATTTCCGTATTGGGACTCCTTGAATTTTGGATTGGGGTTTCCTGAATTACGGATTGGATTTCTCTGAATCCCAGATTGAGGTTTCCCAAATTTCGGAACGGGATTCCCGAAGTACCGGATTGGAATCCCTTATTTCCGGATATCCTAAAATCATATTTAAACACGCAATAATTGAATCTTCGAACTCTCAGACATAATGAACATCAAATTCCTTAGGCTCCTCTGACCATTCAATCCAATATGTTTGCAAATTCCTGGCACTTTAATATTAATATATGACCTGACCGGCTGTGTGATAGATAGGGTGGTTCATTAATAGAAAAGCTGTTATTTTCAACTGGCCCAGCGGAACAATTCGGTCAGAGAAACACAACAATGAAAACAAGTTCTGAAAATATTGCTTACAACTTGAAGACCTTCAGAAAGTGCTCTTCTCCACCCATAAAGTTCGAATCCCGGTGAAAATATCAACTTTATATGCGCTCAAAGAAGCTGAACCACCCTACTGTATAATTCATAACCTACTTTGTTCTAGCACATAACCTCTAATGCTCTTCTCCCCCTCACAAAACCGGACAGGCCGAGAACAAAAAGTACAAATTCAACAACACTTCCAAATCGAACCTGGACCCGTCGCAGATTCCACCTCCAAGCTCAACGGTCGTCAGCACTCCGTCGCAGCATGAGTCACCGACAACTGCCACCGGATCTCGCAGCGTCCTCCAACCGAGTGTCACTCCAACCGCATCGGTGTCCCCTCCGGATTGCGACACTCCCGTCGGTGAAGAGGCCAATGACCTCTCGGACAACTGTATTCAACGCTACCGGAACGTGTTCCAGGCCATTTCCGGTGGGAGTAAGCCCACTCAGCAGGACGGAGGAAACCGGGTGAATCCTCGCAAGAACTCCCGGAAGCGTCCACCGGGATTCCCGGACGATATGCTTCTGGACAAAGCTTCTCCGGTTGATCTGCGCTCCGGACCGACGACCCCATCGTATGAAATCGACTACGATAACAGCAAGAAGGAAGACCAAAGATACCTAAAGGATGATGCCCCGATCAACCTGAGCAAACGGAAGAACGACTACCGGGAGAGTCCGATACCGGAGATGAACAACGGGAACAAACTCCCGAGCAATCTGTTCAATCACTGTGATCCGGACGAGATGAGTCAACGAATGGATGGTTGTGGTGGTGGTAGTGGTGGCGGAGGGCTTCCTCAGACGGTGTCCCTGCTGGACAAGGAAGCCGAAAGATATTTGCTCAAACCCAAGAGGGAACGACTCGATCCGGAGCCCGGTCTCTTCGACTACAAACCGGAAGTATTGAAACCCAAGCTCAGTCTGTATCAATCGCCAAGTCCGCACCACAGTCCGGATGACAAGCAGCAGATGCTAAACGACGCAGGCTATGGGCTACCGCAACCCTTCTTCATAAAGAATCCAGACGCCCACGGAAGTCCGATTCAGCCACCGGGTTTGCCCGTACCGTTCAACAGTAGTGCCATGCTGGACAACATGAACCGCCATCTGATGCGACAGCAACAGCAAATGAATGCAAGCGTTCCAACCGGAAGCAGTAAAAAGGACAAATCGGCCAACCAGCTGGCCATGGATTTGAATGCGGCCGATCTGAACTCCTCGCGACGATCCGGCTCCGACAAAAATCACATCAAACGGCCGATGAATGCGTTCATGGTGTGGGCCAAAGACGAACGGCGCAAAATCCTCAAGGCCTGCCCTGACATGCACAATTCCAACATTTCCAAGATCCTGGGGGCTCGCTGGAAGGCGATGACCAACCTGGAGAAGCAACCCTACTACGAGGAACAGGCTAAGCTATCGAAGCAACACATGGAAAAACATCCGGACTATCGGTACCGGCCGCGGCCCAAGCGAACCTGCATCATCGACGGCAAGAAGATGCGCATCTCCGAGTACAAGGTGCTGATGAAGAGTCGAAGGCAGGAGATACGACAATTTTGGACCCGAGACTACGACGGAGCCAGCGACCAGGGCTATCCGCCCGAGAAGTCCGGTAAGATAATCAAAAACGAAGCCATGTGAGACGAGGCCGGGTGGGACTTGGGACACTTTGGGATGTGAATGTTTTGGGGTGGGGTAATGGAAAATTGATTTCTTTTTAAAGAAAATAAATATTTGGAAGGATAAAGCAAAACAAAACAAAAAAAAACGGAAAACGACGCGACGGTGTGATTTCATTCCGATGACAATCTAGTGGGCCGTTGCCAAGTTAGCAACAGATGTGCTTTCGGGACTACCAAGCGTCTCCAGGTTCAGGCCACAACTCCGGATGGCAATCAGCATCCGTCTTCTTCGCACGGATATAATCATTGCTTAAATGTATTATGCAGTAAACTGCACTTACGACCCCTTGGTACACTCCTTTTCCACCGGCATCTCATTGCTGAAAGTTTTATACGCCAGCTTTTGCTTTCATGCTCTAGTAAAACAACAACAAAAAAAGCAAGAAGCAAAAACCCACCTCTTATCTGATGATGAATAAAGGATGAGACCAAATTAAATTCCGCTGGAAGAGACGCACCATGCGGAGGAGGGGGAATAGGTGTGCGAGCGAGTGTGATAGTGCTCAGGCATACCAAGCAGGCCGAGTGTGTGTGTCGGTCCATCCGGTCGTCGGTAGCTTTGCGCTTTTGTCATTTCCTTTTTAGCCTACTCGGTTTCACTCTGATGGTGGTGGCTGTAGGTACCGACCTTGGGGTCATGCATTAATTATGTCACGCTAAATTTAGGAAACATTTATCACCACCCCTTTCGTCACGTTTTTCCTACATCCAATGCATTGCTTGTCACTGAATTGTACAGCTCCCCGTTCCCCCTTAGGGCGTGACATAATATATGTATCATCCCCTACCTACTACTGGAACTATTTCCGAAATGAAGCTGCTGCATCAGCTGCCGCTGGGGTGGTAAATGAGCAATTTTTGTCTGAATTGTACCACCCCAACTGCCTGTCCCATCGCCACCGGTGCTGGCTAACGGCCGGCAGCAAGGTTCACTTCCTAGCGAAACGTGAGAGAGGTGAACTTCTTGCAACACGTGCCCTACACGAATCGCACGCTTTAGTTTAGTAGATTGGAGAAAGCAAAAAAAGACAAGAACTTGATGGCAGATTAAACTGTTTGGAGCAGCGTCATTGCAATGTGCAAGGCGAGACTAAGGTATTTTTCGGTAGTTTTTCATCTATCTGTCCTGGCAGGAACACGTGTGTGTCGTCCAGTGGGGATCAACTTCAAAGTGAATGATAAATTATTTCCATTGCAGAGGGATTAACAATCAGGGGCAGAGGGATATGAGGGTTTCTCTTGATGGTTTCCATTTATCTGTAGTCTCTAGTACAATACGTATTACGATCTGTGCAAAAGCTGATGGTATCGCAACTTTCAACTTAAATTTATATCGGTCTCGGTCGAAGTTTTCGAAGTTTGTGTAGGAGATTAAATTTAATTAAAGGGATTTGAGGTAAATTTGATTTTACGGAAAATTCGTAGAGCAATTTTTAGATTTTTAGTCGTAGAATCAGATTTGTGGAAAAATGTTCCATTCTCATCGGCAATGACAACGTAGCGTAAGTATAGCTGGCCATGTACATTTAAATTTACACTCATTCTTTGTAAATATAGGAACACCTAATACTAATAATGTTTGCTTTAAAAAAGGCTTTTTTCGCGATGCAATAATCCTGTCACATAGCGGTCAATCCGTAAATGCAATAGAGCTAATATACTATAGAGGAAGAATAGCGCTGGAGTTCCCTTTAGGGCCACCCACATTAGATCTGTTTGCATTGCGTTGACGAAAATTAGATTTAGCTGTCACTTTGCCGCAACGCGTCCGATCCGGATCTAATGTGCGTGGGCCTTTTGTTCCGATGTTGAATAATACCGGGTACAGAACTGTCAAACTGCATAGTTTTTTTCTCGCTTTGACAGTTGTGTCCCCATTGAATGTAAGGAAAAGATATTTCGACAGCGACGGCAGCGCTATTCTTCCTCTATAGTTTATTAGCTCTATTGTAAATGCCATTTAAAGCTACTGTCATACGTTTACTAACTTTACAACCCTTCTTGAAAGTGGTAGGGTAGAGAACTACTTCGGCCTAATCGCCGAATACTTTAGTTAATAAGCTACGCAACGAAGGCAATGAGAACGCGTGATATGAAGGTTTGCACCCATTATTCCCAAAAACAAAAGAAGCGCTCCGGCCGAATCAATATTTATCTTCATCCGATAGGCCGAAGTGAATTCATTGGCGTTTCAATGGCGTTTCAATGCGTTAGGCCGAGTTTAGAATCCGTAGGCCGAGTTTGGCGTCAAGAAGCAGTGTTAGACTTTTGACAATATTTCAACGATTGGTTTCTCTTTAGCAAATATTACGGTACATACGGAAAGGTGAATAAATTTGGAAGCCATCAGTAATAATAACATCCCGTTTGGTGCTAAACTGCGCTAGATTAAGAAAGATTAAGTGCGAGTTGTGCTTAATAGGCCGGAAATGGGGTATTTAACCCTACGTTTTGTTATTCTGTCTATCACGAGGGGGAAGTCAGCTTTCATTTGAGTACCTCTGTTACACAGAGTTTCTCAGAGTTACTCTGATTTGCTCCCATTTGCTCTGTTTTGCAACTGAATGATAATTCGTACACGCTATTTCAGAACTACGCAAATTTGGGTAGAATCCACCCAGATTGGTAAAAACTGAACCTACCCAAAAATGGGTAAACTATGTTGGGATTGACAAATGGACAACATCGATTTAAATCCAGTCAACGTTATGTATTTGTCAACTTGTCACAACATAGTTTACCCATTTTTGGGTAGGTTCAGTTTTGACCGATCTGGGTGGATTCTACCCAAATTTGCGTAGTTTTGAAATAGCGTGTAGGGCATGTAGTCTTGGTACACTCAAAAAATTCCACACATTTTTATTGATGAATTTCCATGTGAGATTCCACATGATTTTCATGTGTCCACACATAAACAAAATTCACTCAGAAGTACACATGAAATGGATGTGTTAAAGGAATAGTATGTGTGGTCACACATTACTTTAAAGTCTACACTTAATGTATGTGTCCGACACATAGATATCATTTGTTGATCACATTGCAAAAATCCATGTGTGGGACACATAAAAACAATCTTTGAAATTTTCTTAGTGTACCTGACGACGCAGAAAATAATTCAACGAAACGTAAACAAAAAGAGAACAAACAAAAGAAAGTTCCTTCTAGTGGATGCAGTTAATTAAGAAAACAGAATCAGCCAGGACATTACAACTTAGTTGTTTACGAAAATTAATAACTGCTATTAGTTTAATCAGGACCTGAAAACCATACGACATCAGCCGAGCATGCTTGGAGCAAACGAGCAGAAGATTTCTTCCAGCCACTAACTCCGGTGGGGACTGGGGTCTCTGTCACCGAAGCAAAGATTTACGCCGATGGAAATCAACAGGTTTTTATTTTATTATATTATTTATTTATTTCTCGGGAGGTAGCCTATCAACGAAATAGGAATTGGCTCGCTCGTCCCAATCCAATGGCATCGAATGGTAACTGCTGGTTCGTTTGCGTTAAGTAAAAGTGCCAAGCGCCCAGTGCATCACGGCAATGTTCTTCAATCGCACCACCCACACAAACCCTCTTGGCAACTTTTCGAGTAAATTGAAGACAGTTATTATTTGTAGTGAAAAATATAAATCAAAGTAAATAATTCATCATTTCATAGTCACATAGTGTTTTTCTCTTTGATGAAAGCGTCTTACTCTATCTGCGGATAGTTTGTGTCGGCCTTCGGTGAGCATCCACAGTAGTGTTGATTTCTTAACATTTTTTATTTCTCTTTTGCTATCAGCAATTCTGAACGTATGTTTGTTTCCGGTCCTGCAGCTTTTCAAATGAAGATCATGATTAAAATTTGGAAATATCTTCGCAGCTTCGTATACTGAGTGTTGGTCATCTTGTTCATTGTTCGATCCTGTATTCGTGGATACAAGATCAGATTCATGCATCTCAACCTCACTGCCATCATCCTGGTCCTCATGTTGGTTTATATTCTGATAGTCATCGATATCGTGCACTTCATTATCAGAAGTTTCTGCTGTTCCTAAATCAACAAACTCTATTTCCGCTGCATTCAGAGAGTTATTTACGGAATCATTCATATTGATCGAAGTGCTTTCCATCCCAATGCTTAAGAAAATTTGTCGAGCCTGGTTCTGAGCCTTGTTTATAACTTCTATAATCTCTTCGTTCGATGGAATATGAAATTCGCCGTTAGATTTGTTTTGTTGTTTGATAATGAACGGAAAGTTAATATGATGTTGGTTTTTGTTCATAATGAATCTTTTCATATATATTCTTTTCAGTTTTTCTGTAAATTCTTTTATAGTAAAATTTACAACAGTCTGGTTGGTAGTTGACATAGACCTCATTTCACGAAACAACTGTTCACATGGTTGACTTGATAGGCTGGATATGATACATTGCTCGGGAACATCGTTGTCACGGCATTTGGTGATGAACAAAATGATTGCGTGAGCATTTAGCTCTAGACAGAAATATGCATTTGCTGTAATGCATTCTGAGGAAAATGTTTTGTTTTGTAGACAACAATTTCGCCAAGCACGTATTACGAAGGTGGTTATCCTGAAATAATTATATTACAGTTAGTATCGTTATTAAAAGAAAATATGTTATTGTTGATCTTTGTGTTGTATTATTATCTTTAGTGTATATATTTTTTATATCAATGGTAATCAAACGTTTTATGTCAAACACTGTTTTACTTACCATATATCCTGCACTAGTTCAATCAAAGGGACATCTATTTCGATGAATGATCGGTGCAATCTATACATGAGCTCTAAAAACACTACTGTTCCATTGCTATGTTGTATGTTTTTTTTTTAGATACTCAATCATATTTCGGTTAATCAACTTCAAAGTTGGTGAAAAACTCATCTTATCCTTCAGCTCTATATCTGACATGCACAGGCCGTGCTTATCCTTGCTATGGTTATTCACAAGCTCTTTCAGGTGATCCTTGGTAATAGTGCATGTTCCTAAATACAAGAATTGAAAATATGATTTCATTTCAATAATTATTGGTTAATTAATAACTTACCGAGCTT